ACTGAAAAGTACAATTGTAAGAAGGAAAAAAGTCACGATTGAACTTCAGAAAGTCCAAAAGACTACAATGTTACCGGTAACTACTTGCTCCGTCCTCAAAAGAATGCAATTCTAAAACAGAATTATGTTTTAGTATATCACATTTGACCAATTATAGATAAAAAAAATATAAATATTTATAATATAAAATAAATATCATTAGATTAATTATGAAATGTATTTTCATAATAAATTAATTTAGAGCCATAAATATGAATATTGTTTACTAGAAACTTGATCAAAGGTGAAGCACCCAAATTGGCACGCAACCTATAATTGCATTCTTTTACGGACAGAGGCAGGACTCAAGAACTTGTACTCCTACGTCTTAGGTGACGTAAATGTGAAAAGTTTGTGAATAAATTTAGAACCTACTACAACCAATCAAAATTGTATTTTCTAATGGTATACATATACATGAATGGAACTCTAATCTTGTTATATTGTCCTTTATTGAATCTACATGGAGCATCTCTTCATCAAGTTGGCATGGGAAGGTGGAGTTGGCCAACTTTCTTGGAAGTGTCACCTTTGGATGACCCTCGTGCAATTTTGCATGTCTTTAAATATAGACGTGGAAGTCATTTCTTTATGGAGCTTATAGTAATCTTGGGGCGGCATTTGGACTACACGAACTGGTTTGGAATTTAATCATGAGTCACTTCACCGGCGCAATATGCAGAGCAAAGTTTAAACATGAAATCACAATTCTTACGCATCATGCGAAGTAAAATTATTTCCATGTCAACTACTGTAGTGATTGTCTAGAGTAACATTTTCCTCTTTTTTACGATCTTTCTTTTTCCCTTTCTTCTCTTTGGAACTTTTTTGCTGTATCATTTTTTTATACGATATATAACCAGTAGGGAACTGTCTCTCATATTTCTTCCAAAGAAACTTTATATCTCATCACGACCTAAATGGTGAAAGCTGCCTCAAAGGAGGTGTGGAATTGAGAATAGAGAAAAAAACTCGCATAGTGATTTTAACAACCCGTACAACAAAGGTAAATTATTCATAGAGCAAGGTTGCAAATAGCGCGCATCAATTCTCTAGCAATTCTCTTCAGGGTTCCTTGATATAGCATTTCTCTAGCTCTGGATACTAAATAAATATTATAATTTTTTTCTGAAAATAAATCTGAAAAATACAAATAATACGGCTCCGGCTTCATCTAATACAGCTACTAGTCCGGACGCTATTCTACGAAGGAGCCAGATTCTCCCATAATCTCAAAATAAGCAAGGAATATTTTCTTTCGACTCCGGAGTACCTGACCGAGGTGGAGAAGCCGTAGTCCTCCGATTCTCCGGAAGTCCGAAGTGGTGCGCCTATTTATTTATAAACTTCTGAACTGAGCTGTGCTGGCCAAGGTGGTTATGCTTGTTTATTCACGATGCAACCGCCATTTTCGGCGCCGACCAAGGTGCGGCAGTTCTTTGGATTCTGGAATTGGTCAAAGCGATGCGATAGAGATCAGAGGACCAGCGACCTGACATGGCAATTGTCAGTAAGGACTGATGGCGCCCATTTCATATAGTTTTCTCAAAATACCCTTTTATTGTTCTACGGTGTAAGAGTAGTACCACTTAACATCCAGATAACTGTTTTCAACGGCCACCAGCCCACCAATCAGAACCAGCTTTAGCAAAATTCCAGAGCAAACTGAACAGACGGTTCGGTTGTTTAGCACAAACTGAACAGGAAACGGTGAGCAAACTTCGGTGCAAGGAGGACGCAAGGTTGCAGACTTGCAGAGGACGCACTTGGTCACGGACGCACACGGTACACTCCACTTGAGTCCACAATCAATCGGTCCAAAAAGGAGGAAAATGAAACCGCACCTGCACTACCTCTGTTCTGAACTCATGGAGATACCACAGAGGAAGGGGAAAACACTGAAAAGAGCGCGTTTTCCACCGAGTACCGAGGAAAGTGCGTTTCGTTTTCGTCGTCTTAAAACTTTTGCCCTCCACTGAAGGCAAGCCTCCCTGTCCGCTGTCCATCCTGGAACTGATGCTTGTTCAGTCGTTCAAGCCGTTATTAAGGATATCCGGGCCGTTCTCAAAAAAAAAAAAGGATACCCGGGTCGGCAGGAGACGTATGAACTGATCGATTTGTCCAAGGAATTCTTGCAATCCAGTTTGTTTAGCATGCAGAGACGCTGATGACAGCGCAAGAATGCATGCCTTCTGGAACGCCGAGAATTTTCGTCCCTATCACTCGGTTGCGTGTATAGGCCAGGATGAGTGGTGGTTGATGACACTGTGACAGTGAGATGTGCGACTGTTTGAGAAAGAAAAGAGATGGCAGTTTCACAGTGCTTGGCCGCTATCAGCTCTTTGGATGTGACCAATTAAAGGTGTTGATTGCGCGTGAAACACTGACAGATGGCGGTAGTTTAGAGGCTGGGATGGATTTTGGAATTTTTATAGGGGGTGGGGAAGTTTTCGTGTTTCAAAGGATCCCTAGATCTTACAAAATTATAGCTTGTACCACCATACAACGTAATTCAGCACAAAACCTTTTTTTCTTTCTCCCCTCACGATCATTTTCAGTCTAGGTGATAACGTTAGGACCAAATGCAGATATAACGAAAATGCGTTCCTTTTACAATACAAACAAAGTAGACAGAAAAAAGTTATGGCCTGTTTAGATCCACTCGTTCTAATAGTTTGCAGCTAAAATTAGTACTAGTAAATCTAAATAATAGACAAATTAATTATTAGCTAGGAGGTTGCTAAGGATATGTTTGGATCCGCTAATTTTTAGTATGAGGTTATTTGGATCCACCTGCTAATAGGTGGTTGGATACTGTGTTGAAGGTACATATAAACTATTAGCACCTACTAGCAACTCTAAATCTACTAATGAAACTAATAGTTAGCGGTCATCCATCTAATAATTAGAAGATTTATTATCAGGTTTGTTTGGATCCACTGGTACTAATTTTAGCTACTAACTTTAAGCAAATAGATGCTTGGATCCATTAACGGCTAGCTTGCTAATAGTTAGCTAGCTAGTACTGTAGCTTATAACTAATCTTAGCTAATTAACTATTAGCTACTATTAGCTGATTTGGTTCAACTAGTGAGATAGTTATTAGTTAGGTATTAGTTGGATTTGTTTGGAACTAAAGGAGCTAATTATTAGTAGCTAACTATATATTAGCTCTCTGGATCCAAACATGAGTCATGACTTAGCTATTGGGTCCAGCTAATAGTAGATTTGTAGTGCTAATAATAGGTGTCAACTACCTATTATTAATTTATTAGTAGGCGAATCCAAACTGTTTCTTGCTAATAATTAGCTAGCTGATAGTTAGTGATTATTAGCTATTAGCTAGCTAACTATTAGTGCCGATAGATCCAAACAGACTCTAAGATGGACGTCGAAACAACTAATAGTATATTGATTTACAAAATTTATGGATGACGGAGATCTACAAAAGACTATGATTTAAGATATAGAGGCGGGCAAAGCTTAGTGTAGGTCAATATAGGCCATGGCCCTCCTGCTCTATAATTCTCCACTAATCTTATTGCTCATGAGCTTGTTACACTTGAAAATAGTCATGAATTTTCTTTATAATCTAATGTCATTTGATGCATAGCCCCCTCTTGATGCACAGCTCCCTCTATATTAGCTCAAGCTCCACCACTCACTATATAGAGGTGAATATGTGTGTACTATATTTCTTTACTAAAACCATAGCTTTGCCCAAAGTTATGTTTTTCTTGTTTCTTATGCTGACAACCACGATATTTGTTGTATGTAGGCGGTGTAGCCATCTATGGCACAATATTTTCTTTCTTAGTTAAGTGTTCATACATGATCCATCATATAAGATAGATACCTAATTCATGTTTAGGTGAAATGCACCTAATTCATGTTTTTTATCCTCACAACCACGATGTTTTGAATCCTAAAACATCACTATGGCCAAAAATTAATATTATGGTACACATGTGTAATTTGTTTGTTTTGTTAGTTTCTCATGATGGCAACGATGAGTAGTTTATAATAAAATACTCCTACACATGTGAAAAAATTGTTCCCATGAGTTTTCTTTCGTAGAAAGTTACAAAATTATATGAGTAACTTTTATGTATAATATTTTGCGAGACATAACTTACCATCACAACTTCTAATCATAATTTTTCTGATACATTTTTTGCAATATTTATATAGATGACTTATCTTGACAACTTTTTTACGTGATCTTTGGGGCCTAACTTTTTTGAACAAAGGTTTTGCGGGTGGTATCCGATCGGACATGTCCGTCCCGTTTTCTCACTCCTTTTTTTTCTCCTCTCCCTCATTTTTCTTTTTCTTTTTTGACCATCTTTCTTCTATGAACTATGAACAAAAAAATTGAGGTTGAGAAGTTTATTCAGAATAAACTGTGTATACTTTTGTAACGAAAGGTGTGGATAATTCATAACTTTGTTGTTATCCATGAATGATCGAAGCCTATCAAATCAACGGTGGAAGTTTGTTTTTCTGTAATAAGAATTTCTAACATCTCTTACTTTTGTTAAGGCCCAGTCTAATCTGAGATGCTTAAAGATAGCATAAGATAAGGTAAGAGGTCCATCTCATCTTTCAAATGACTGCAGCCCCAGTTGTCAAGTTAAACGAAATGGAGAACCTGCAGTAGCGTCATGCTAATCCATGCACATCGTGGGGCCCCGTCCCAGTCATACTAGAGACGCCTCGTGCTCCCTCCTTGCCTGGCCTGGCCTGGCTCACGCTTCCAGCAAGCAAAGCAAGCTGTTCTGCGCCTCCTCCGCCACTGCACCTGGCATCCGGCCATCCCTGCCTGTCTCTACAAATCGCTCCCGCTCCACTCTCTCTCCACGTCCATCTCGCGCCCCAAATTTCCCGAACCAGCTCCGCCCCGCCCTGTCGCTTTCCCTTCCACACACGCCGTTCGATTCGATCGCTTTGATCGATCAGGCATGGCCGACGAGACGAAGCCAGAAGCCGCCGCCCCAGCGGCCGAGGTGGCTGTGACGGAGGCCGAGAAGAAGGCAGAGGAGCCCGCCCCGGTGGCAGAGGAGAAGGCCGTGGAAGCGGCGGCTGAGGAGAAGGCCGCGGAGGCAGCTGAGGAGAAGGCCGTGGAGGCGGTTGAGGAGAAGGCGGCGGAGGTGGACTCGGAGGAGGAGAAGAAGGCGGAGGAGGCCCTGGAGGCCGCCGCGGGGGATGAGGCGGCGGTGATCGACGGCACCGGGTCGTTCAAGGAGGAGAGTAACCTGGTGTCCGAGCTCCCCGACCCTGAGCGCACGGCGCTCGCGCAGCTCAAGGAGCTCGTCGCCGCCGCGCTCGCCAACGGGGAGTTCAACCTGCCGCCGCCACCACCACCGCCGGCAGCCAAGGAGGAGGCCAAGAAGGAGGAGCCGGCCAAGGAGGAGGCAAAGGAAGAAGCGCCGGCGGCCAAGGAGGATGAGCCCAAGGCAGAGGAGGCGGCCGCCGAAGAGCCCGTCAAGGAGGAGGCCAAGCCTGAGGAGCCCAAAACGGAGGCGCCGGTGGAAGCAGCGGCCGAGGAGGCTAAGGATGAGGCTCCCGCCCCGGAAGAGCCCAAGACTGAGGCTCCCGCGCCGGAGGAGCCCAAGGCCGAGGCGGCGGCTGAAGCGGTTGCCGAGGAGCCCAAGGCCGAACAGGCGGCCGAGGAGACGAAACCAGCTGAGCCGGAGCCGGAGGAGAAGGCGGTCGTGGTCGCCGAGGAGGAAGCCACCAAAACGGTGGAAGCCATCGAGGAGACCGCCGTCGTCGCGGCCGCATCTGAGCCTGAGGCGGAGGCCGCGCCGCCGGCGCCGGCGGCCGAGCCGAAGGAGGAGCTGATCTGGGGCGTGCCGCTGGTGGGCGACGACGAGCGCACGGACACGGTGCTGCTCAAGTTCCTCCGCGCGCGCGAGTTCAAGGTGAAGGAGGCCCTGGCGATGCTCAAGTCGGCGGTGCTGTGGCGCAAGCGCTTCGGCATCGACGAGCTCCTGGGCGCCGACCTCGGCCTGCCGGAGCTGGAGAACGTGGTTTTCTACCGCGGCGCCGACCGCGAGGGCCACCCGGTCTGCTACAACGTCTACGGCGAGTTCCAGGACAAGGAGCTCTACGAGAAGGCCTTCGGCGACGAGGAGAAGCGGGAGCGCTTCCTCAAGTGGCGCATCCAGCTCCTCGAGCGCGGCATCCGGGAGCAGCTCGACTTCTCGCCCAGTGGCATCTGCTCCATGGTGCAGGTCACCGACCTCAAGAACTCGCCGCCCATGCTCGGCAAGCACCGCGCCGTCACACGCCAGGCTCTCGCCCTGCTCCAGGACAACTACCCCGAGTTCGTGGCCAAGAAGGTATAACTTCTGTTCTTTGTTCTTTTACACCGATCGAATCTTCTTTGTTCAAAAGAAACAAGGAATGATCTCCGAGAATCCTAAGTCCAAAATTCAACACTTTCAGCTAAGAAATTGAGAATTCCCATGTATTCAGTTTTGTGCTTGGTTAAAAATAGGATCTCTAAATTCTCTACGCCCCTGTCATACTTGTTTCTAGTAATAGTAACATTCAGTAGGCTGGGACTTTTTTCGCCCCTCCTGCTTCCCTCTTTTTTTCACGCTGCTGCTTCCTGCTTTGCCAGTCTTGTGTAGCTGCTACTCATGCTTCTTGCCATAAAATGACATACATGTTTCCTTTGTGAGAGTACTGTTTTTCTGAATTGGGGGAAATTGATTTGGTCGGATCATTGATCAATTGTAGGTGTTCATCAATGTGCCGTGGTGGTACCTCGCGGCGAACAAAGTGATGAGCCCATTCCTGACTCAGCGCACCAAGAGCAAGATCGTCTTCTGCAGCCCTGGCAAGTCTGCGGAGACCCTCTTCAGGTTTGCAGTCTTGCACACAACAAACGGATTTAGAGTATCAATCAGTATGCCATTGCTATCATACATTCAGATTTCACATCCTCACATGTCGAATGCCGCATCGAATTTGATCCAGATACATCGCGCCAGAGCAAGTTCCGGTCCAATTCGGTGGCCTGTACAAGGAGGATGACACCGAGTTCTCCACCTCTGATGCTGTCACCGAGCTCACCGTGAAACCATCCTCCAAAGAAGCCATTGAAATCCCAGCCACCGAGGTTTGATTGGCTCCTTGTTCATGCATCCTGAATCTCATCTCATGCGAATTCCACATTGTGACGACGAAACTAATTGCCATCTTTGCAGAACTCCACCGTCGTGTGGGAGCTCCGCGTGCTGGGATGGGAGGTGAGCTACGGCACCGAATTCACCCCCGACGCAGAGGGCGGCTACACCGTGATCGTGCAGAAGACGAGGAAGGTGCCGGCCCACGAGGAGCCGATCATGAAGGGGAGCTTCAAGGTCACTGAGCCCGGCAAGGTGGTGCTGGCCGTGAACAACCCGGCATCGAAGAAGAAGAAGCTGCTGTACCGGTTCAAGGTGAAGAGCACCGCCGAATCCGCCGCCGCCTGAGGGTGTGGTTCCAGCTTCCAGGCACAGCCAGCTGCTGCTTGACCACCCCGACATAATTTGATCGATCGCCAGCCAGGTCCACAGGTCCATACCCGCCACCATTTGAACAGGTTGCATGATAGGAGAGGACAATAAAGAGTTTCTGTTACTTTCTAGGCCCGTTCCGTGTCTCGGTTCTTTGATTATTTGTTGGCTTGCTGTTCTTTTTTGGGGTCGCATTTGTATGTGTTTATTACTTGAAAACCAAAGTGGGAGCTTGTTCTATGAGATGTCGATGGACTGAAGAATAGTTGCTGCTCTGTACTGTACATGTGTCTGTACATTTCATCCATGGATTCTCTTCCATCAACGTGTTGATTTTAGGCTATCTTCAACAACAACGTCCAAAATATAAGATCAATTCGTCCTTTAGATAGCGCTACAAGCAAAAGGTTTAATATCTATTCGGTATCTTCTCCAACAACAAGACACAAAAGAATTATTTCTACAAACGGGTTTTCAGGAGAAAGAATATCCATATTTTGGTTACGTCTCTCAGGCAACTAAAAATAGATCTCCCATACAGGTACTTTGTTGGAGGCTGATTTTAGATCTTCTGTTACCCATTTTAAATTTAGATGTGCATATAAATTCCTTGGAGACGGTCTTAGAAAGCATGCCTGATTTGTCCCCTCAGTCATTGCCGGCGCCATGTTACTCCTCCCCCATGTTCGTCTGCTGATTCCGTTTTGTCGTTTCCCCTGGTGCTTTGCATTGCATTTAGGGGGTGTTTGATTTGTCCTCGTAAACTTTAGTTGCTATCGTATTAGATGTTTGGACATATACATAGAGTATTAAATATAGATTAATTACGAAACTAATTGCATAGCTTGTGACTAATTTGCGAGACGAATCTTTTAAGCCTAATTAGTCTATGATTTGACAACATAGTGCTACAGTAAACACGTGCTAATAACGGATTAATTAGACTTAATAAATTCGTCTCGTGAGTACTGACGGATTCTGTAATTTATTTTTTGGTTTTTTGTGTTCTTGCTCCTTACTTTAAAGTGCAATTGTGATTTTGTCCTTGTTTTTCTAACTTTGTGATTTTGCCCTTTACTACGAGTAAGTCAACGCGATTTTGCCCCTGCTTTGACCGTTGACTAGGGACAAAATCGCGTTGACTTGCTCGTAGTGAAGAGCAAAATCACAAAGTTAGAAAAACGAGGACAAAATCACAATTGCACTTTAAAGTAGGAGCAAGAACGCAAAAGCCCCTTTATTTTTTTATTAGTATCCGAATACTCTATATGACACCCTTACATGATACCTTCTAAATTTTAGCCATCGAATCAAAAAAACACCCCTTAGCATCGATGATGACGAGCCCTTTCAGACAAGCGCCATTCCATGGACGTCAGGATCTTGTGTCTTTCCATGCTTATCTATGTCAGTTCAGTTTGAAGCTTTGGAATCAGTCTGTAGAACACTGCAAGTGAAAAAGGCACTGTGTGTGAGTATTTAGCGCTGATGCCATTCCTAATCAGGCAAAGGAACACATGGCAACATGGCAATGGCTGATTGCAAAGCAGGCATCTTCCATTCATGCTTAGGTGGTGGGGCATAATGCTAGGCTGTGATGATTCCAATCACTGAAAGTCCAAACAAAAGAACAGCCACAGCACAGCACAGCACAGCAAGCAAGCTGTAGATAGATAGATGGATGGACATTGACTTGGACGGAACTGTAACAACTACTAGTACCAGGCAGAGGCAGAGGAGAATGTCTGTGAGGCTGTGCGAGACTGAAATTTCTGGTTTGACCACGCCACCGGTCCCGGGCCATAAAAACCAAAAGGAGGCGCCGCCTGGGCTGGACTCGCCAGTCGCCAGTCATGATGCGTGTCCAGCGCGGCCACGACGCCATGATCCCCGACCTGTACCTGACAAAGCTATATATATATATATATATAGACTGGATTATACTTTTCATGCCTCGACATTAAAATCCAAAAATACTCTTGCAGCGGTGTTAAACAGAGGAGGTGTTCGGCGGATCCAGTTTGACGTGGACTGCTGATTTCGACTGATTTAATACAATGTTCTGTGAGAAAAAAGCTAAAATAAATTGAGACTAGATACGTGTTTCCAGGTTTTCTCGGTCCATAAAAATGACCGAGTTTGTTAAGTGTTGCCCTTCTGGTTATGGCACAGACGGTGAGTTCGAGCACTACGACCTCCTAGGCTTCCTAGGATTAGGAAGCAGAGGCAGTTGTTACATAATCCATCTTGGTGATCTTGCTGCCATCATCCCCAGCCCTGGGCCGGCGCGCTGGAGTCAGAGCGCCCTCGCAAGAGTGACACTTTTTATTTGAGGAAGAGAGTAGAAGATATTAATAAATTGTTGGGATTTATCTTCGTCGAGAAAACTCAGTTGCTGAAACTTCGGAGTCAAAATTGTGATCATCAGCCAGTCGAGGAGAGCCGGCGCCGCGTGGCCAGGAACAAAGACCACGTGTTCCGTGGTCACTGATCCCTTCCCTTACGTAGTTGCCCTTGGATCCTCTTTCCTCACTACTACTACTAGTACTAACCGTGCGCCATGTGTGTAGTCTGAAATTCTGCGTGCCGAAATCTTTGCTGGATTCCTGAAACTCAAAACCAGATCGTGTAACACTAACATACTAGTAGTAGCGTGTCCCAACGGTTAGCTTTGCTGCAGATGAAGCACCTGCCGCCGGCACGTTTTGGTCTCGACTTCACCGGGTGGCACTGCACTTTCCATCATCCGGAAGGAAAAGAGGGTGAGATAGAAACATGCACAGTGATTGGACGCGACCTATCATTTTCCTTAAGAAAGAAAGGTGGAAAAAAAAGAGTCCGTCTTCCAACAAATATGTGTTTTATACAGTTTCAACACATGAATTTTTTACACCATAGAATTAAGACCCAACAACCTCCATCCTTCTTCTACCTCCAGACAATCACAAATCACAAAATCACAGATCCACAGATCAACATATCACAAGAAATATTTTTTTTCTATGCAAAGATCAGAGGACAAATCGCGTCCAGGTCTAATCGGAGCGAGGGGCCAGGAGAACTACGACACGACTGACGGATCAAAATTAGGGACGAGTTAGTCCCAGTCGTCAGGCCGACCGGTATCCAATGCCCACGACCGCAGCGGACGCGACTGATGGACCACGGCTGTCGAGACATCGTCCTCGATCCGTTCGGTGAAGAGAAGCCGGCGATGTCCGCCACCACAACGCGCGTGCGCTTCGGAGACAGTTGAAAAAAGAGAGAGAAAATCCATGCACTTTTTTATGCTAAAACACATATACGTTGTATAACATTTAAAAAAAAGATGAGAGCCGCGGCCCGCGGGTGGGCAAAGTGCTTTTGGTTGGATATGCGTACGCATGCACGAACTTCAGAGCACGTCGCGCCGTTGTAAGCAAAAGCCCGCCATCAGCGTGCAGCACAGAGCATGCAGCGGGCCGTTGGAAAACCGTGGCAACGGCGACGCATGCTATCGTTTGATGACACCAACACGCATGCCTATCCCCTGTACTCCTCCTATATCAAAATTCAAAAAGAAAAGGAGAAGAGGAAACATGGGCCTATCAGTAGCCCGTCAGTCAAGCTGCCTATACGGTTGAGCCTAGCTTCAGCAGCAGCACCCAGCTCTGTGCCGGTCGTGGCTGCTTCTCGCTCTTTTGTTTTTGTTTCGAGGAATCTAGCTTTCTCACTTCTGTCGACTACTTGATCAGAGCAAGAGGTAGTATACTTTCTCGGTCCATAAAAAAATATAATTATGGTATTCGTAGATCAATAGAATAAAGTTTGACCAAATCTATAAGGGCAGTACCAATGGTGTATTGATGATGGTTTCTATCTTTATTAAATAACTTGCTACGTAGGTAAAACGTTGACATGACAACGTAATTAATGAAGAAAGAGAGTAAAAATCCTAGAAATGGTTTCCTCATGAAGAAATCAGGTCTTCTCTTGACCCAATGCACCAAAAAACCATGAAATCGCCATTGGGGAGAAACCACCAGTTTCTAGGAGCCTCGTGTTGCACTTCCATTGGAGGAAGAAGATAGAGTTGGGAGAGAGAAAGAGAAAATAATTATTACTCATAGAAACCATGGGTTGGAAAGCAGTACTTTTTTGTGTGGTATCTTATATTATAGAAACTACTAGTTTTTTTTATTGGGACTACCCTAATAAATGGTATTAGTATTTATGTCTCCAAATAAATTTATTATAAAAATATATTCTATAACTAATTCAATAATATTTACTTTGTATCATAAGTATTTGTATTTTTTAATATAAATTTAGTCGAAGTTTAAACTATTTGTCCTCCAAATCCGAGAATTACATTCACGAGAAAATGAGACGACGACAAAGGCAGAAAGCGAATGGCGCATTCGATCAGGGGAAAGAAAGAGCGGAGACAAATGATGAGCGATGCGGAAAAAAAAGGTGAAGCCCACAAAAGCATAGCATGTTTGGGGAACCGGTAAAGCCAACAGTCGCTTATCTTCCGCCCTTTTGCCAAGAGGCTGATAATTACAAGAGCAAATGTTTTCTAACTGTCATCATTCATCAATCTCAAGTAATCCCTCCATTCCTAAATAAATCAATTTTTATGATGTCTAATTTTTTTTTATCTTAGACCGAATTTATAGAAAAAAATTATAAATATTTATGATGCTAAATAAGCATATTATAAAAATATAGTATATCACATTTCCTATCCTACAGCGGCTACATGTGGCTGAAAGTGAAGAAGATGTACTACTAGCAAGGGAAAAGGTGTTCGACCAGAGTTGAGAATGAGTACTTGATCATTGGATTTAAACTAGATGATGGTGTTCGTCACCTAAAAAGAATGTAGAAATCAGGCGCCTGTGATTTAGCAACTCCCTTTATGGTATCGCCAAGGATAATTTAAGACAACTCTAAGAATTGATCTACTTAAGAACGGGGGTATTATATGTAAG